AATATATGCGGCCCAAAGTTCTGTCGGCGAAGGTAAAGTACCCAAACGGGCCTCCTTTTCCCTTTCTTGGGCCGTATTAAAGCCCATGTAATCTGGGCCATGTCCTAAGCAATTTAAACGGCCCAAAGTTCTGTCAAGCCTCATTGTGCCTCCTTTTTCCCTTTATTGGGCCGTATTAAAGCCCATATAAACTGGGCCAGGTCTTAAGCAATTTATGCGGCCGAAAGTTCTGTCGGCGAAGGTAGAGTACCCAATCGGGCCTCCTTTTCCTTTATTGGGCCGTATTAAAGCCCATACATTATGGGCCAGGTCCTAGGCAATTTAGGCGGCCCAAAGTTCTGTCGGCGAAGGTAAAGTACTCAATCGGGCGTCCTTTTGTCTTTATTGGGCTGTATTAAAGCCCATATAATATGGGCCAAATCCTAGCAATTTAAGAGGCCCAAAATTCTGTCGGTGAAGGTAAAATACCCAATCGGGCCTCCTTTTCCCTTCGTTGGGCCGTATTAAAGCCCATAGAGACTGGGCCAGTTCTTAAGCAATTTAAGAGGCCCAAAGCTCTTTCGGCGAAGGTAAAGTTGAATGCTAATTAACCAGAAGTTGGAGGACTGATTGTGAAATTCTTGAAAGTTGCATTTTTTTTCTTAATTTTTATTTATTTGTACTATATAATATAACTAATAAGTAATCCAATTTCTGCTCCCTCTGTTTCCCTCGATTTAGGGTTCAGAATTTTGCAGTGCCAAAACCAGGCACCTTCAATCGCTCTTCGAAGGAATCAAGCTGCGACCTAGTTCTGTCTTGTTCTTGAGGTAGAGTGCAACTCCTTTTTCTTAGGCTATTTCAATTGTTCTGTGCTGCCAAGGTTTTTGATGGGTGCGGAGAGGAAGAGGAAGGTCAGCTTATTTGATGTGGTGGACGATTCCTCGGTCTCCGCAAGTAAAAAATTGAACGGCTTTGGAGCACCGTTCAACAATGGAGGTGGCAATGCGGGCAATAGTCTGATCAACAGGTGGACTGGGAGGCAGTTCTCGCAGAGGTACTATGAGATTTTGGAGAAGAGGCAGACTCTTCCTGTTTGGCATCAGAAAGAGGAGTTTTTCCAGGCTTTGAAGGGCAGTCAGACTTTGATTTTGGTTGGTGAGACTGGTAGTGGTAAAACAACTCAGGTTAGTTGGGGATAGCCTTCTAATATTTGTTGTTCTAGATTATTGGTTGTCTTTAGAGGGCAAATTAGTTTAGAATTACTTGTAACTTGCCTTTTCTCTTGGATGCACGTAGTTACAGTATCGGAGGAATCCGAATTTCGCATAAAAAATTATTTTAGTTATTGTGGTGATTATGCCTGTTGCAGATTCCTCAATTTGTTTTGGAAGCCGTTGACCTGGATAGTCCAGATAAACGTAAGAAGATGATGATTGCATGCACTCAGCCTCGTAGGGTGGCAGCAATGTCAGTTTCTCGACGTGTTGCTGAAGAGATGGATGTAACTATTGGAGAAGAGGTGGGTTACAGTATCCGTTTTGAAGACTGTAGTAGTGCCAGAACAGTTTTGAAGTAAGCTCATTCTTCCTAGTACCTGCTCATCAGTGTTATTGCCTAGATTTTTCACTCAATGATTTGAAATTTTATTCTCTACGTGATTGTTCATCTGTTGCACTTTCTACCGGGTGCAGGTATCTAACTGATGGTATGCTTTTGAGAGAAGCAATGACAGATCCTCTTTTAGAAAGGTATAAGGTAATTATTCTTGATGAGGCACATGAAAGAACATTAGCAACAGATGTTCTTTTTGGGCTTTTGAAAGAAGTTTTGAGAAATAGGCCTGACCTAAAGCTGGTCGTCATGAGTGCTACACTTGAGGCTGAAAAGTTCCAGGGTTATTTTAATGGTGCTCCACTTATGAAAGTTCCTGGTAGGCTTCATCCAGTGGAGATATTTTACACACAGGAACCTGAAAGGGACTATCTTGAAGCTGCTATTCGGACAGTTGTACAGATTCATTTGTGTGAACCTCCAGGTGATATACTTGTTTTCCTCACTGGTGAGGAGGAAATTGAAGATGCATGTCGCAAGATAAATAAAGAAGTTGCAAACCACGGAGACCAGGTAGGGCCTGTGAAAGTGGTGCCTCTATATTCAACCCTTCCTCCAGCTATGCAGCAGAAGATATTTGAAGCTGCTCCACCTCCCGTAAAAGAGGATGGACCTCCTGGAAGGAAGATTGTGGTCTCCACGAACATTGCAGAGACTTCATTGACCATAGATGGCATCGTTTATGTTATTGACCCTGGCTTTTCGAAACAGAAAGTTTATAACCCTCGAGTACGTGTTGAATCATTATTGGTATCTCCTATATCAAAGGCTAGTGCACATCAGAGATCAGGTCGTGCTGGAAGAACTCAGCCTGGAAAATGTTTTAGACTTTACACGGAAAAGAGTTTCCAAAATGATTTGCAGCCACAGACATATCCTGAAATTTTGAGATCAAACCTTGCCAATACTGTTCTTACCTTAAAGAAGTTGGGGATTGATGACCTCGTGCATTTTGATTTTATGGATCCACCTGCTCCCGAGACATTGATGCGAGCTTTAGAAGTTCTGAATTATTTAGGTGCATTGGATGATGATGGGAATCTAACAAAGCTTGGGGAAATTATGAGTGAATTTCCATTAGATCCTCAGATGTCAAAGATGCTCGTTGTTAGTCCAGAATTCAAATGTTCAAACGAGATATTATCAATTTCTGCCATGCTTTCAGGTATTTCTGCCTTCTCTCTTGACCTTTTTTTTTTTTTTTTTTTTTTTTTTTTCCT